TTGTTCACATCAGGACTAGCAATGTGCGCTAGTAAAATAAAGTCCATTTTGATTTCATGCAGACTTTAATACATGCAAGAAAAATTGTGTGAATATTCCTTTAAAACATTTTATAATAGGCTAATAGTTATTAATATTAATAGATATTAATATTATAATTTTTTTTCTACAATTAAGTGATTAATCTGGTTGTAATATTTATTTTTATAATTTAATTGTTTTCTTTAAATTTGATAGAAAATTGAATATTTAAAGATGTACATTATACTGTACAAAATCTGGTTGTAATATTTATTTTGATCATTTAATTGTTTTCTTTAAATTTGATGGAAAATTGAATGTTTAAAGATGTACATTATACTGTACAAAATCTGGTTGTAATATTTATTTTGATCATTTAATTGTTTTCTTTAAATTTGATGGAAAATTGAATGTTTAAAGATGTACATTATACTGTACAAAATCTGGTTGTAATATTTATTTTGATCATTTAATTGTTTTCTTTAAATTTGATGGAAAATTGAATGTTTAAAGATGTACATTATACTGTACAAAAGTAATACAAGAGTAATATATTTCTGTTACATGTTAAAGCATACTTTTATTTTGACAGGTTGCCATGAAGTTTCTGTGTGTATACAGTAAGATGATGCTAATTTTATCAAACGGTAAAATTCTCGCGAAGTGACTCTCACAGCAGCTCGGGATTAAGTTTTTGTGTTCATGTCGTCATATAGTGAGACGCAGATGCCGAAAATCACCGCGAGCTTCACGTGTGCTTCAGTATTTGTTTAGTAAACTAAACCGCGTTTCCACCATTCATACATGCAGAGTAGGGCTGTGCGATATTGAAGAAAAATGCGATATGCGATAACTCATTAAATAATGCGATATGCGATACGATAATGCTTAAAGTGCCACATGCTCACATGAAACAGTTTTACTCAGCTGTTGCTGAGTCAGTTCTGTGAACTTCTATAACTATCTTGATCTTGTGTTATATATATATATATATATATATATATATATATATATATATATATATATATATATATATATATATATGGTTATTTGTATGTATGTACCAAGAGTTCCCGATAAAACCACAACAAATTCCTTGTGTTTGCGCACACTTAAGTGGTGAATAAAGCTCATTCTGATTCTGATTCTAATAAGAAAGCACCCCTACAACAACTTATGAAAGTGAACGGTAGTGTTTTACTCGTGCATTACATAATTTAATTTTATCATGAGTTTAGGAACTGAATAATAAAAAGGAAAAAGGAAAAACTGCTTAGAATTTACTCTGTTCAATATGCACTGATTCTTATTTAAGCTACAAAAGTTATTTAGGTAAGAGCAGTGAGTGATTATCTCTTTGTCCAAATATTGCAAGCTGTAGCGATATGCATATTGCGATATTTCGATATATTGCACAGCCCTAATACAGAGGCAAGCGGAACATGCAGGATTAATATTTAAACCGTCTTTTTGCATTTTAATATTCACAGACAATAGTTCATATCGCGATTCAAATTAAGTGGCAGACCTACTTTTTTTATTTATTCGTCCAAAATTGACGAATTCCGTGGCATTCCACACAATGGAGTAAATTACATTTTTGTGAATGGACTCCACGATCCCGTCCGCGTTTTCGCCCTAGTAATGTAATCACACTTCAGAACATTTCGGCTTGCCCTGTGTGTTGTTTGAACGAGTTGCAGGGGTGACATCACGTCACAGGGTCTCTCTTTTTCTCTCTGTAGCGTATGCGCCCAGATGCGTTCTCAGGTACCGAAATTTGGTACCGATTGATTTAACGTGAATCGGTATTCGGTAGTACTGACGCAATTCGGTCGGTACCCTTAAAAGTACCTAGTTCGGTACCCAACCCTAGTGTTTAGTACATACAGTTAAGGTGTGTGCTTCTGCAAAAGCACTCAAATAATCTTTAATGGAATCATTAAGAAATAGAATTATTAATTCCAAACAATTCCCATCCTACTTCACTCACCCTCTACATCAGTCATCAAGGTCAGCAGTGACAAATGTTCTGTGAGAAAAGGTGATGCATGGGAAAGTTCACTGAGCTGCGTTTCTCAGAAAGCAATTAGCTCTTTCCAACACCGAAACAATAACAAGGAAATACACAAGTAATCCACAACAAAGCAGCCTTTATAGAGAACATCACTATGACCTCGTTTCAGTTTCTTATCAGATCACTGAACAAAGAGAACAATAATTTATCATGAGCACAGGCTGCAATTTGATCTACAATATTATGAAATAAGGTCATGTAATGCAACTTACATTTAAGGGATTGTTCACACAAAAATGACAATTCTGTCATTTATTCACCTGCATATCAATGAAATGCATTTCTTTCTTCTCTGGAACAGAAAAGGAGATATTTTAAAACTGTCAAAGTTTGTCTATACATTGAAAGTCAGTAGGGTCGTGGGTTTTGGTTCTTTTGTTGTTGTTGTCTGTAAGGACCTTTTGAAATTTAAATAATTTGGCTGTCAAGCCCTGCCTGGAACTACTTTAGCCGTGCGTTTCTCTGAAAATAATTGCACAACTTAGAACATTCATCAACCAATCAGATTCAAGCATTCAACAGGCCCGTAGTATAAATATATATATTACACACACACACACATACATATGCATGTATGATTCCATGGACAAAAATTATTTGTTTCCTTGGTAAAAATAATAATAAAAAAAAATCAGCATAAAGATATAATTCCCCTTTTTTCATGTGATATGTAGTGAGTGAGGTAGTTTCCTCTGCGTTGCTCAGAGGTGGATGAGGATGCCAAGAGTGTCAGAGATGGATGGATGGATGGATGTGGACGAGCGAGACAGGTTGTGACCGACTGAAGGGAGGGTGATGTAAGACCTCTGAGCTCACCAGCAAAATCAGCTTTCTTTGGCATCTCTGTTCTTGAGATACAGGAGGCTACACTGGTGCATTATCAAGCCATCAATACTTCATCCCATTTAACTTATCAAGCGGAAACAGCCAAGACTTTTTGTGGAAATGATGAATGAGAGCTTAAGAGCACTTTCACTTCTGTAGCACTAAGGGGAAATTTTTTAATTCTGTGCTTATGCTCAGAGTAAATGACATTTGATTGTCTTATGCAAAACCTCTCTGCTTTCAGTATGAGAGCTATTAAGATGAGTGCTTAAGAACAGTATTAAACTTTGTTGTGTTGTGCTATGGACATCTATATACCTTATTGTGCAATTTGTTGAGTAGAGGTGTACTTTCTAAAGCGCTTACCATAGCAATTGCATAGTAATCCACTTCAACAGACTTCAACAGTTTCCTGAAGTATTTTTTCTATTCATTTTTACTATAGGGCTTTAAAAAGAATTCTTCATTAAAGAGTTATAAACTATTAACCAAACGAACCAGCGACGAGGTGAATCATAACATTACAAACGTTGATTTGAAGCAAAACAAGTATTTGAATATCAGACAAAAAGACAAGAATGTGTACTCGATGGATTTAATGAGCGGAAGGACTACAATAGTTTTAAAGACGATATTTAACATTTATTGCAAAATATGCATATATATATATATATATATATATATATACACACACAAATATTTAAGTATTTTGAGAGTGTGGGGAGACTCGATTACGTCTTTCAAAGTGCTTCATAAGAGTGGGCGGATGCTAAAGATTATGCAGTTCTCTGATTGGTGGAGAATTCTTCACAGAATTATGGGTAATGTAGTTTCCCTCCAGTATTCCCGCACTGTTAAAAGTGATTAATTAAAAAATAAGATTAAATAACAGGGACTGATGGCTTCACCAAAAGCATTTACCATTGATCAATGACCTTGTAGTTCACAGTCCTGTCCTCAAAGGTTTATAAGTAATAGTTATCAATTCCCCTGTGGAGAAAATGAATGGGATTTTTACATCCAGAGCCTTACTGTTGCACTCTCTAAGGCTTTGACAACCAACTAGCACACGATTGTGCCACATTTCCATATAAAAATGAGAAATCTTTATTTATCAGAACACAACTAGGGTGAATTCATTTGTTTTTAGGCGAGTTTCATGCAATGCCATAGAGTTGTGCCATAAACAGCACCTGCGTAACTTGGTGTTACAGTAAGTGCTTTCCGGTAACTAGCACTAAACCTGAACCACTACACCACACCACTCTGTACATCACTGACTGAAATGTTTAAAAGCATCCTGAGTGATTCTCAGCACAAGATACCTGAAATACAGACCAAAGTTTCTTCCCTCATCCTGCCACAAGTGCAGAATAGCACCTGCCTTAAATACTCGTACCACCATCATCAAAAGCGTGTCTGCCTCGTTCCCCATCCCCTGTTGCCTAGCAGCCAAGTCAGAGTGTTGATGTTCTCGCATGCACTTCCTGTAAACACTTAAGACACGAGCCTCTCTGTGCAAAACAGCCCACTTCAGCGTCAGAAAATGGAAGTGTCTCATAGTCAAGACTTCCAAAAATATCCCTCTCTGAAAAACTGTAAAAAGGAAAGACGTAGGCAGAGAGTAAAGTAAGATTTTTTTTTTTCTCTCTTCCGACCTTCTCATTTATGGAGTACCACGCAGTGAAGTCATCTTTCATTCAGCAGCAGAAGAGGAAAATTTGCTCCTTCTATCCGTCCCAACTTCTCATTCCATTACAGTCAGACTAGACTCCCGAACGCATCTCAGAAAAGCACTTTGTGGCCAGGCCTTCAGTTATATAATATACATTTGACCCTTTCAGCACCGCATCTGTTAGACCTTCTCTAAACGAAATGTAGCTAATTTAATGTGCATTTAGAGGGTTGGTGTTTGTGATGCCTTGGATATTAGCGCTGGGCATCACAAAAGCACTTATCGTTGCTGCAGCAGCAGTTGGCACTTCAGATTGACAGCGGTTAAAAGCTTTGCGCTGGTTGTATAGGTGTATTAAAATGTGTGGGCTTTCTCTAATAGCAGCTATTCTGTGTTTTTCAGCTCTGCGGCAGGCATCATGACCACAGCTAGGTACCGACCCACCTGGGATTTGGCCCTGGACCCGCTGGTGTCCTGTAAGCTGTGTCTGGGAGAGTTTCCCTTGGAGCAGATGACCACCATCACCCAGTGCCAATGCGTCTTCTGCACTCTGGTGAGTAGCATCTAAACATGGATTTCAGTTAGGTACAGAACGGCTAAAAATAAATCAGTGGGATTTAGGGATGCACGATATATCGGCCACCATATCGGTATCGGCCCATATCGGCTCATTTTTTCTGTTATCGGTATCGGCCTGATAAGAAAATTTGGCCGATATCTTAAAGCCGATAAATAATGCATTATTTCCTTCAGAGACACTTCAGATGCGCGCTGTTCGTTTGCAGCCTTTTGTGCAATTGTACATTGTAATATTGTGTTTATTTGATGTATATCTGATTTATCTCATATAGAATGCGTTTGGTTAAGTTAAAAAGAGCGCTTCAGTTTACCGGTGATCATCTTTAGCTCAGCACACGCAGCCCAAACAGCAGTGCACAACATTAATAACTATGATTGGGAATGTCATGTATATAACATTCTAATGAGAACATTATTATAATAAAACATTGTGAATTCTTTGGGTTTAGTTGCCGTGTTTCAGCGCGTTGTTATGGGAAGAGCGCATCCACAACAGGATCACACATTCTGACTATAGCATGCAATAACTGCGTCATTTTGTACATATATAAGTTGTAATATTATGTTTATGTTGTATTAATATTAATCTCAGGATGCATTTCCTTGAGTTAAATAAGCTGCCAGCAAAACGCTTCAGTTTACCATGTTCATTCAGCTCTTCAGCTTCAGCACGCGCAGCTCAACGGCTGCTATTTAAAACAGTGGTATTAATTTGTTACTTTTTCAAAATCATCGATACATTATAAATAACAACAACCACTTGTATTTTTCTCTTATTATTTTCATCAACAATATGGTTTAGTAATTAAAATCATTTAATTATTGTCCGTGCAGAGGCTATTCCGTTTTATTGATCTATGGCGCATTCATTTTGATTCTTTACATGTGTAATGATGTCCAGTGACTTGTTTGCATTATTTATGCATTATTTTATTTATTTGTAAGACTTTTTTATGACTAAATTTGGTAATGGGAGAGTAAAAATATTTTTAAAACGTACACCGTTCAAACTAGGCTGCTTATGTTGAAGTGTTTGGGATGTGGCTTTTAATGATGAGACCTTTTTTGTAATCAGGCTCTCAAAAAGTATATAACAATTTGGATATAGATTTATCGGCCAACATATCGGTTATCGGCTTTCAAAAATAAAGAATAATCGGTTATCGGTATCGGCCAAAATTTTCATATCGGTGCATCCCTAGTGGGATTCTTACATAAGCTTCAGACATTTTGAAGCTTGTCTATATTTAAGCACAGCAGTTCACAGCTATAGACAGATTCTCTACAGGCCAACCGAGTTGTTTTTTGTTTTAGCAATGTGATTCACAGTACAGTAATACACATTTGAGGCTTCTTCAACCCTCAGAGGTTTTCTGTTCTGGGAGCAGTTTCCCTTTGCTGTGTTTTTACACTGATCTGAGACCAGTTTTATTTATGTCTTGAGGTTACAAGCAACATTTGGGGAAAGGGAAGCTTCTGAAGTAGAGGAAAGGGAAAACATCTCATCTGACTCTGGTTGTGTCTGAGCTCACTGGAGACAAAACTGCCTTTGTGTCTTAAGCGAAGAATGTTTATGGAAACAACTCCCTCAGAATTGTCCTTGGCAAGCATTCCTAAAAGCTCAAATCCATTTAGTTTCTTGGTCCGTTTAGATCAAAATGTTATTTGTCTGATATTTTTATTTTATTTTATTTTATTTTTAGAGAGAGAGAGTTGTTTTTTCTCCTGAAACATAAAATAAATAATAATAATAAAAAAAATTCATAGCCTATTAAAACACTGAGTTCACAAATTGCTAACATTGGAGGATAATTAGTCTTGGACAAGTGACTGCGTCTTCGTTAAATTGAGATGTTACACGTCATAATTGTTTTGAGGAAGTTAACAGTTCATTACAAGTGGTTAAGTGCTTCTGTACTCGCACAGACATATTGAGCAATTTAAACGGGACGTTAAAAGCTGAATTTGCTTACCATAATATATTTTTTCTACATTTTCTTTTTATTAACTGATTTTTAATGTCTTATTATTAGTGCCTGAAGCAATACGTGGAACTTCTCATCAAAGAGGGCTTTGAAACGGCTATCAGCTGTCCGGACTCGGCCTGTCCAAAACGTGGACATTTACAAGAAAATGAGGTAATGTCAACATTACACTACTGTTCATAAGAGTAGGTTGTAATTTTGTGGGTATAATTTTATTTTATTTTTTTAAAGAAATCAATACATTAAGTCAGCAAGGAATTGCATTGGTGTGATTGGACAGTAAAAACTGTCTACATTGTTTTATTTCTATTCAAATCAATGCTGTTTTTTTTTTTTTACTTTCTGTTCATCAAACAATAAAAAAAAAAAAAAAAAAGTGGGGTTTCCCCAATGTGTGTGTTCACTGCTGTGTGTGTGCACTTTGGATGGGTAAATGCAGAGCACTAATTCCGAGTATGGGTCACCATACTTGGCCACATGTCACGTCACTTATAGAAGCTTGAAAAAATGTATGGTGACTACAGAAATATAAAACTGCACAACTGTTGTCAACATTGATAATAATAATAAATGTTTCTTGAGCACTAAATCAGCATATTAGAATGATTTCTGAAGGATCATGTGACACTGAAGACTCGAGCACGGAATGCTGAAAATTCAGCTTTGCTATCACAGGAATAAATTACATTTTAAAATATAATAAAATAGAAAACACTTATTTTAAATTGTAATAATATTTAACAATATTACTAGTTTACTCTTATTTTAGATCAAATAAATGCAGCCTTGATGAGACTTTTACTACATTTAAAACATTTAAAAATCGTTCCCAAACTTTCAAATGGTAGTGTACATATTCCTGTATTTTGTATACATTTTTTTTTTTTAAAGCAGCATTCACGTCAGGGACTTTATAGTTTTAACATCAGGGTTTTCAACGAGGGGTCCTTGAATCTGCTTTAGGGGGTCCTTGAAGATGTAAAAAACTAATTATAAGGAGTAATATACATGAAAAAATACAGAGCTAATGATCTGTTAATCATTGTATAATGTAGTTATGCTAATCTGCAGTTTTGCTAATCTGCTAATGCAGCTTTATCAGCAAACCCTGCAATAGTCACAGCCTCTGAAAAAAAAAACCAGACAAATACATTACTTTCCAAATAAAAATCCTAAAACGAATCCGTATCTCATCAAGAGGAGATTAAAACCCTTTTAGTATAAAATGGACGCTGAAACCTCTCCAGTCGGACTCTCCCCTCGGTGGCTTGCACCGCAAAATCCTTCCATGTATGAGGTCAGTCCGAGGGCAGGGTTCCTCCTCTGCGCTGCAGGCTCATTGTGAGGATGGCTGGCTCGTTCAGTATCAAAGCAGCTACACCAGATGAGTCAGTCCCAGATGCAAAGCATCAGAGCAACTAAAGTGAATCCTTAACTAAAGTATGTCATTTCTGCACCGCTAGCATCACCAAACTCAACTGCAAAAATTCACTATGCATATTCCTGCTGTGTTGTTTGATCTCGAGACGGTGATTAGATTGAAAACCATATTTGATGTTGGGTGTGTGTTTACCCCGATCCAATTGAAATGCTAAATGCAATGTCTGCAAAACTAAGAGTGCTTTCGTATCCATCAGACCACATTGTTTCATAATTGATTGTTCTCTCTCTGTCTCTCTCAGATTGAATGCATGGTGGCCGCAGAGATAATGCAGAGGTACAGGAAGCTGCAGTTTGAGAAGGGTAAGTGGAAAGAGGCTGTCTGTCCATCGGGGGGGCAGTTAGTATCAGACAGCAGCAGATGAGGCACGTGTGTGTGTGTTTGTTGAGGGTGAGCTCCATGCTTACTGTCCTAGATGACTCAGGGTGACTCACAGTAGACAAATAGGCCGGCACAGGTGTACATGTGAGGATGAAAGGGATGTGAGTGGACTTGCACTGGACACGTGTAGGTCCAGCTGACCTCATGCTGTCGCAGAATGGAGGCTTTTTCCTGTGCTGTCTGCATTTCTAACAATGAGAGCCTGCCACCTGCCGACACCTAGTTTAACTCTGCCTCATTGTGTTAACTGTTTTTTGTATTTTCTGATTATCATTTGGGCGAGGAAAAACAAAACAGAAAACGCCACATTTAAACCCGCTTTGTCCACGTGAGCACCAAAGTTTAAAAACTCATGCCGACTGCCATACCACAGTCCTGACATTCAGTTTTGAATCTTAAAACATATTCTAGCCATCCATTTTTTCAGTGTAGAAGTAAGCTATTTCCTGTGCATGTGCGAGACGTCTGATTCATTAGCCACTATAGGTAAATAACTAGAAGACTAGCAAAGTGCAGAAAACAGTAAACATAGCTACAAACCAGTGTGATTATTATTACAATAATACATTTAAATAATACAAGTAACAAATACCAGCTTGCAATATCAAGCAGCATAACTGACATTCAAGCTAAAAATGGCACACCTGTTCTTCTGTTAAAAATACGGCGGACATTGTGTTTCAAAAGAGTGTTTAATAGTGGAGTGTTTAATGATTGTTTTCAAACCGCTTTCTAAAACACTCCCCCAGACAGCAAATAGCTCCGCCCCAAACTCATACCATTGGTTGAGCCAGCCATATCCAGCTGATCAGGATGACGTCAGGATAAATGGCAATATTTTGATTGAACCACAGTTTACACTTCAGTGAATCTATTATATAAATTTGTCTATATAAATACATATTTATATTTGCGTTCATATTTAAAGATGGCAAAAAAGTATTTAAACATTAATAAAATAATCTTCATCTTTAAGACAAGCAGAATGGATTTGCATAGCAGTATTTCCACAGGCAATGTTATGTATTTATACAACAGTTCTTTCTGGTCCTCGAATCTGATTGGCTGAGAGCCTTTTCCAGGAGTGCGATATTCTAGTGATAACACAACTCCAACCATTTCACCGTTTGTATCACTCCGCTTTCAGTATTTCTCACAGCGAGTGTCATGGGGGATGCCCGAATCCACTATAATTTTATAAATAATACTGTTTTTGTGTCACGGAATGTAGTTTTAAGAGTTTTTAAGTGAGAATTTAAGAGTTTTTAAGCAAGTTTTTGGAGATGTGCGCTCCAAGGCGTCAGCGGCCATTCAGCGTCCATGAACCCGCTGAGAGCAGCCTTACCTCGGCCAGTTCTTTTGGAATTTAGTAACCCAAGGTAAACTATGAACAGTGTTAAAATCCAGGATCACAATTACACATTATCCTTGGCTAACAATTTAGAAGTGCAAGAGGCCCAACTTCATACCTTTGGCAGTGCAATTTCCTTGCATCATAATCCAGGGTTTAAAGCTTTACAACCCCTCTGTCGAAATTACAAGAGTGAATCTCAGGGTGGACTTAAAGTGGACTTAACCTGGGCTTTAAAAAGACTTGAGTGAAGTTAAAATGGAGAGTCTTTGTGTTCCCTCTCTGTATCTGAATCAGTCTGTGTACTGACCTCAAATGCCTTAAATTTTTAACAAAAGCAGCTTCAAGTCAGAAATCTCCAAGATTAAAAAACTTTTTAAAGAGTAAATTAGACCCGTGTTAATTGGATACGCTTGATCAAAAGCATACATGTTCCCTTAAACAGAAAAGACCAGAGGCTCTGTGCCATATGCTCGGCATATGAATCTTCTTTCATTATTTCCATCAGTAGGGGATCCCAGACTCTGGACTCTGAGAGTCTGCAGTAGTTTGAACCACAGGATACATTTGCTTGAGACATACTCTCTGTCCACCCCCCTCCAGGTCATTGCATTGCTTTGAAAAGGGAGAAAAACTACATGTAGTTACGTGGTCCCGTGCTGTGATCCTCTCTTTCTGTCTCTCTTTGGTTTGAATTCAAGGTTTTCATGCTTTCGTATGAGAACCATTGCAGCAACATCATCATAAATAAGAGAATTGCAGAGAGAGAGAGAGAGAGAGAGAGTTAAAATGCATTCATTTAGCTAATCAGTGTTCCTGGGAACTGGAGCGGAATGGTGGCTATAACATATCCACACTCCCAGAAACAGAGCCAAGAGTTCATGTGGAGTCATGTGTGGACTGCTGTGTCAGGTGGAGAGGACGAGTGTGAGTGTGTTCGGTTTGTGAGATTCTCACAGTGCACTCTGGGACAGACAAAAATGCATGCCATCCTGACTCAACAAGATGGCTAAAAATGGCATTCAGTGGATATTATGAAAGGCCTCTTTTTAACATAATTGCCCTCAACCGCACATTACATACATAACTGAGTTTAGCCATATGTCACTATGTAATATGTCACGAACTAGTAAAACCATTATGAAACGTATAATTATGTCTCTAATTTCTTATTGAATTAACAACATTCAAAGCTATATATAGAGACCAGAATATCATAGGGGTTGACTCTTTTGATGCAAACCAGTAAGCAACCCAGGCCCCTTGGCAATCACCAAGAACAACCTAGAAGCAATGGCTGCGTCTCAATCGTCTGCCTAGCTCCCGAGCTTGTGAATCAGTATATCGTGTACATGAATCTGGGCAATGCTAAGGACCTTTGCTTACTACGCATTGGGACAGTGATTACTCAATTTTCGGCGACATGACTATACGTACAATGTCAACGTACATTGTTGTAGAATGTCACTGACCGCAAAAACAGGCAGGACCTATTTCTTTTTGACATTAATTATTATTCTCTTTAAACACATTGTTCTGTTACATGTCCTTGCAACATTTCAGCAAAATATTAATTATAAATGTTAACTAGATGTGTTCACTCCCTGTCTAGCGATGTTGTCTTTTCAAATCTTCTTTCACGTGTCATTATATTTATCTAGTTGACTCGTGTGGTTTATGTTTCGTGCTTCAGAAATGTGACGTAATTTCCAGTAAGGGAGCATAGTGAGCATCGATGCTCCCTTCTGTAGTTTTTGCGGTGTATTGTGGGATTTTTCAGGGAACGAAAGTTGCAGTGTACTGGACTGGAAGGATTTTGCGATTGATATAGCCCTTAAAATGGCTGACTCCCTGATCAGTGCCCTGACTACTGAATTAGGGAGCAATCTAACCTCCTAGCAAAACCTTAGTAACCACCAAGAACAAGGGCCTAGAAATGCCCTAGCAACCATCAAGAGCATCATAGAAACCACCTTTCAAGGCCCTAGAATCTACCTTGAATATTCTAGTAACCACATAGCAATGCCTTGGCAACCATTCAGAACATCTTCGAAACCACCCAGAAGCATGCAAGTGATCGCCTAGCAGCGTCCTAGCAGCCACTCATAGCACCCTAGAAATCACCTAGAAATGCCTTAGTGACCAACTAGAAACAACCTTGTAAGGCACTTGCAACCACAAAGAGCACCCTAGAAACAAACCTGCAGTACCCTAGCATCAACCAGGAACACCTAGCAAACACCAATAACAAAGGCCCTTTTAAACCACCTAACAATGATCTAGTAACCACTTGGCGACGTCCTAACAACTACCCAGGACACCCTAGAAACTGTCTAGCAAAATCATAGGAAACAGAGAACCAAGGCCATAATAAACAACCTAGCAACCCCTAGCACCCTAGAAACCAGCTAGAAATGCCTCAGAAACCACTCAGCACAGCCTTAATCTACCTAGAAATGTTCTAGCAACACCCAGACAATCGGATCTTTTGCACAGTCAAGCACCAATCACATTTCATCACAGAATATAAATCTAGCTACTATTAAATGTAATTATTTATTGAACAATGGTGTCTCCGCCTCCTGTTGTGCCCAGCCATGAACTGTGGTAAAATCAGTGTAACGCACAGACCTCATGCAGCTTTTTGCCTTAATGAAATCTAATGTAACTAATGAATTTATGCACAGCTATGATTGGTAGCAGCTCTGGTATCTTGTTCCTGAGGGCTTATGAGGCCATAGCTGCTCTTTTCTATCACCCCTCCATCTCTGACAGCGTAACCATGGTGACCTGTCAGCCCGCATCAGCAGTAAGCAGCCTAAAATACACTCGCGGAAACCGCGTCTGATCTTTCATCTTTCACCCCCTGCAGAGGTGTTGCTGGACCCGAGCCGGACCTGGTGCCCGTCCTCCACGTGCCAGGCCGTGTGTAAGCTGAAGGAGTCTGACACGGCGCTTCCACAGTTGGTGCGGTGCAACGTTTGCACACTTGAGTTCTGTTCCGCCTGCAAGGCCAGCTGGCACCCGGACCAAGACTGCCAACAGAACGTTCCCATCACCGCGTTTCTACCCGGAGAGAGCAGGTACTGTTGCCTGTTAAAGACATTTTCTAGATTCGATACAGGTTGCGTTTAATCAACAGCACTTTTTGCATAATGTTGATTTTGATCATTTTGATTTGTCCCTTTTTTTTTTCTTTTTTTTTAAGCCAAATATCTCAGGTTGCAATGGAAGTGAATGAGGCCAATCTATAAACTTTAAAATGCTTTGTTTCAACTGTGTAGCCACAACAATAAGTTAACATGACTTTAGTGTCAAAAGAACCTGAACGTTTTTGTGTAATATCCAATAAAACAATAATACTTTGTTGCCATGACGATGTAATGCCTATAACTGTAAAGTGACTGTAAAAATTATACGAACAACCTTAGAGCTTGAATAATTCACAAAATAATTAATGTAGGGGGTTTTATAAAATTATACAATACCATTCAAACATTTTGAACTTTGTTTTATTAATATTTTTATTCAACAATAACACATTAAATGTATCAAACATGACAGTAAAATACATTTATATTGTTACAAAACATGATGTTTAAAATGCTGTTCTTTTGAACTATTCAAAAAATAATCCTGAAAAATCACTGTTTCATTGTTTCCACAAAAATATTAAACAGCACAACTGTTTTCAACATTTATGATAATAAGAAACGTTTCTTGAGCACCAAATCAGCATATTAGAATGATTTCTGAAGGATCATGATACTGAAGACTGGAGGCTGCTTAATTCAGCTTTGTCATCACAGGAATAAACTACATTTGAAAATATATTAAAATAGAAAATATTTATTTAAAATTGTAATAATATTGTATAATACTACTGTTTTACTGTATTTTGATCAAATAAATGCAACCTTGGTGAGCATAAGAGACTTCTTTCAAATAA